TATAGCCACAGATTTTTGCCGAAATTTAAAAAGAATTGATGGTAATGAAGCTAGAAAGTCAGGTCCTTTTAAAAGAAATGAATTTAAAGATGATCCATTTGATTTTGCTGCTGCATCCCAAACTACGCGCGATTTTCCGGGTTTGTTTCTATTAAAGACAGCGAAAATTGGTAGATACCAAACTCTTCCATCGGCTCGATCAATTTCATTTTCTTTCAATTTTCTTATGTAGCCCTTAGATAGGTATTTTGACAATGTTTCTTTAAATGTGTTGAAAAGCTCGTCATTTTGCTTTAATTTTCGCTCTAAGCAAACAAGGCGTTTGAAGGCCATATCATAACTGTCAGGCAATTTTACTAAATCGAATTTCCATAATAATGGAACTATATAGTTACCATTGGCATTTCGTTTTGTAAAGTTATCTAATAGATGCAACGCGCGTTGTTCGCTTTCAGCAATAAGAGGGTCTTTTATGCTAATCCCCACGCTATCAAGAGCATAATAGCTTCTGACCAACTTGTCTAAATCATTATCACTCGCAGAACACTCACATATATGATAATTAAAGTGCTTACCTGAGTTCTTGTTCTCTGCGACTGTGCCGTATATTAGCCATCCAAGTTGTGTTCGTACAGCAACGGGCTCATACGGGGATCCCTCACGGACTTTATTATGAATTCCTAGGTCGAAATGATTCAATCCAATTAACAACATTGGCACAGCATTACTATAACTTTTCACAGGAAGATTTCGCAAGTGGCGATAATTTTGCGCCATAACTCTATAATCCAGCGATTGGGATGGTAAATTTAGCGAATTTACAGTAAAAACATTCATGTTGAAGCGCTTTCCATTTCCACCTGAAATACCTATTTTTACTTTTTGTGAACTATTTTCCGTTCTTTCCATACCTCCAGTCCACCGAAGGCAGAGGGGGTTGGAAATGCCCTCCACATCCAATTGGTTCACTAACGACTCGTCCATTAAACTGATTGAAGATCCGTCATCTATGAAAGCATATGTGTTTATGCTTTTATCTTTTCCATATATTTTTACAGGAATTATTTTGAACAAAATATTTTTTATTTCAGCACTATGTGAGTTGTTTACTACTTCTTCTATATGCAAATTGTTTACATTGTCATTTGACATTTCATTATGTTCATTTGCAGGTTGTGAATATCGATGTAATGACGAGTGGTGAAAATATTCGCACCCCTCTTTACCACATTTCTTCTTCTTTCTGCACTCATCGTTGTGCTTACACAAACAAAACTTGCAAAGTTTGTTCCTTTTCACCACATTCCATTTCTCTCCACGATCGAGTGAGAGGAATGTTTGACAGCTAGCTACTGCTTTGCAGTTGTTGTTGCATACAACACATTTACGTTCATCGCTATGAGTATAAACGTAATCTTTTTTGTATGCTTTTTTGTTATTTGCTGATATTTTGTCTTTATGGTTTGTTGTTGTTTTCGAACAGTGAGGTTCAACTGCTATACTACTGGCAGTGATGCCAATGCTGAATATCCATTTGTCAAATTCAGATAAATTTGGATTTTTGTTTTGGTTCATCAACTGCATTTTGTAATTTGCCCATTGCATTTGATACGAAGGGGGGAGCTTTTGTATCAAATCAAAGAGAAGAGATGAATTATTTATTTCATCATACAAATTGCTGGCGGTGATGGTGGAAATTAGGCTTCGGACTTTTATCGCAAATGTGGTAAGTGTTTTTAGATTGTTTTCATCAACTACTGGCGACGATTTTATTTTATATTTTATTGAATTGATAATTTTTTCAGGTTGGCCGTACAGCAATCGAAGTACCTCAACTACTCCTGGTACATTAGCAGGATGAATCAACATTTGTTGCACGCTTTGGAGAGCTTCTCCCTTAAGAGATTTTTGAAGACGGATTAAGTTTTCCGCATTAGTGAAGTTGCAGGCGGCAGTTGACCATTCCAAAGTGGAAATAAAAGTGGGCCATTCTTCCGGATTGCCAGAGAATGGTGGCAATTCCTTCGGCATGGATTGCCTAGCATTTATGTGCGACTGTAGTAGCCTGTTGTGAGGTTCCAGACTTACAGGTGGACAAAATGATGTCGCTGTATTGGCATTAGGAGAAATATTCATAGTCGAAGACATCGGTTCATTCTGTAAGAACGTATGTGGAGCTGAATCCTTAATGTATGACTGCTGACGTGGCTGATGAGAAGCGAAATTCGTATTGCGATTCAGTGGAGCTGGATCCTCATTAGGTGAAATATTCATGGTGGTAGAAATTGGAGCAGTTTGTAAAAAGGTGTGGGGAGCAGAATTATTAATAATTGTTGGCTGATAAGGACGAAAATTTGCATTGCGAATTAGTGGAGGTCGAGGTAAATGTGGATTTACGGTTACATGAGGAAGATGATCAATGACACCTGACTGCACTTCTGGGTGGCAGACGCTTGTAGTTGCCGTGTACATTGCACGATTTGGTATTGACAAGGTACTCGCAGAAGCAGTGGAGACAATGGGCACGAATGAAGTATTTGCAGTTTGGTGATTATGATTTATTTGCATGTTTGTTTTTGGTTTATTTTGCGTATTGGCGTGACCTGATATGTCACAATAAACAATCTCGTGGGGCAAGCTTGAAGCTTGCTGATTTGTGTTGGTACATTGATTATTAGCGGCAGATAGATGCCTATCTTCAGGGAGAATTTCTGATGTTTCATCTTGATCTGGAACTTTATTTAGCCAATTTTGTACTGTTCGGGATTTGTTAGACGAAGTATCACTTATATCTTCGGCTTCCTCAAGAAGTTGGTATTTTTTATTTAGATATTCTGTATTAAATATTCGCTCTTCTTCAAGTCTTTTAAGTTGTAATTGAATTTTACGCGAATGTGACTTGTTAGAATGAGCAGAACTCCGAGTTGTAGCAGTGGATGCTGGTGAGTTAGGTCGTATGACGGAGCACTGCGGACATTTTTGGGTTATGTCCGACGTGGAATTTTTGCAGTTGAATTTTTTGTTGCATTCTATGCAATATTTCTCATTTTCGTCAGGGGATTTTTGACTTAGTGAAATATTGTGATCATTGTGTTGCTGACCTTCTGAATTTGATAACTCCATTTTCTACTTACTGCGAGATTGGCAGGTTATTGTAGACGCTGCAGTTGGCCCAGGATGAGCCCACAAAAAGAATTTTAAAATGTTGAAAAGGCAAGTAGGCCGAGCTGGTGGTTTCCACTGGGATTTTGAATAAAATACAACTTGTTCCATAAAAGTTGATTTATTTCACAAAATGTATTTCTATTAAAATTCCTAAATTACAAAAAAAATTAGGAATTAAAAAACTATAAAATAGTAAATATAAAACAAGCCATACTTTTTGGTATGAAACCACAAAAACTTTTAAAATAGTTCAAAAAATCAGTTCCTGAGCACAGCGTATTATCCAACTTATTGGTATTTATTCAGGACAGAAAATGGCGGTACTCAGGGACGCTACTTGACATTTTTTCTAAGTTTCGTTAAATATTTACAATAAATTGACATTCCAAAAATTATTATTTCATAAGCAACAGTGTTGCAAGATCGTTTACAAATCAATGAGATTTTGGGAGTGCCGCTAACAGTACACATTTCTGAAATCGTACGGTCTGTACATGAACAGCGACCCTCATACAAAATTTCACATTCCCAGCTCTATCGGTTCACCCAATACCAAATTGTATCAAATATAGTACTATTTAGTACATTTCGTGCACTTGTAGTACGCATTTCCTTTCTTAACCACAAACCTACCACCAATACAAAATTGCAGTATTCCAGGTTCATCCGCTGTTCCAAATTTAGTACCATTTAGTAAAGTTCGCACACTTAGTACACATTTCCAAAATCACCTTCATATATCAAACTTACTTTCCAACCTCGATTCTCATACCAAATTTCAATTGTTAGCTCTATCCGTGTCAAATGGTACAATTTTTTAAGTATAGCACCATTTTAAAACTTTTCGTAATCTTAAAGTTCGAATTTCCAAAAACCCTTTGGTACATCTATCCTGCATACCATTTCTGACTCTTTTACGAAATTTCAGAATTTTCTCATTCTATTTTTCCAATACAAAGTATTACATTTTTAGTAGATTTTTACCCTTTTAGTACGAATTCCCAAAAACCTAGCCTTATCACATGCCCACGCACCAAGACTAACCCTTGTGACAAATTTCAAGGTTCTAGCTTTAGCCATTTCGTCTGGGCATTGACCAGTCAGTCGGCACTTCACTACTCTGGGTGATCTCTATATTTGAAAACCATGAAAAATTCCCCGCTAGCTTGTACATTTTTTTTATTTGTTGTTCCGATCCAAAATGTTGTTTCCGATATACAACTCCTTGAAGTTATAAAATACGATTTGTAGGTCATGACTGTACAATATTGTATTACAGCCAATCGTTCAACAATTTTACCGAACACTAAACCTTACAAAGTGTACTAAACATAAACACATTGTAAATAAAATAATGCTCAAATATTATGACAGCTGACGTCCAGACTTAACGGTTTTAAAGGAAAAAATCTCCCATTTCAATCTTTGTCTTTTGGCAGACATTAACACTTTCCGCTAAAACGCCAAAACTAAACCATGAAACTCTTCAATTTAGAACTCAAACATCCTTTCTAATCCCCTTACCTGTCAGTTTCATGGGAACACCAGCTTCAACCAGCTATTTTATTTTGCCAAAGTGAGAACGAAAAACTTTATCTCCTCACCTTCATCAATTTCACACACACAAGTTGATTGTTTTCATCCTAGCAATTGCATTGTTATTTAAATCTGTCACGAAATCTCTTCTTTGGAGAGATTAACTGGAATTTTCATTTTTATGAGATTTTAATTGTCTTTTTTCTCTTTCTCCCTCTGTTTCTTTTCTTTGTTGTCGTTTTTTTTTCTTATTCCTTTCTACGGCTTATCCTCCCGCACACCCACACCATGGATGACAGGCGACGAGCTCAACAATTAAAAGTGGCCCGCCAAAAAGAAAAGGAATGGTTAAAACTACAACGAGCCAAAGGTGTCAATTTATCCACCCTCAATGGTCTGAGTACAACACATCACTTTCGCAATGGCACAACATCCGGCAAAGGTCATATCTCATTCGAAAACAGCGTGGTGCTGCTGGAGGCTGCATCACGCAATGACATGCAAGAAGTTGCCGAATTGTTGGAACATGGCATTACACCGGATGCGGCCAATGAAGACGGTCTGACGGCACTGCATCAATGTTGCATCGACAACAATGTGGAGATGTTAAAACTTTTATTGGAATACGGTGCTAATGTTGATGCTCAGGACAGTGATAAATGGACGCCATTGCATGCGGCCGCCACATGTGGCCATTTGGAACTGGTGCGAATACTTATTGATCATGGTGCTAATCTATTGGCCGTCAATACGGATGGCAATATGCCCTACGATTTGTGTGATGATGAAAATACCCTGGACTATATAGAGGCTGAGATGTCAAAGCGTGGTGTGACCCAGGAACTGATCGATGAGACGAGATCGGCAACGGAAAGACAAATGTTGCGGGATTTACAGGATGTATCGAAAAATGGTGGTGATCTTGAGCAACCAGATGAACAGGGTGCAACGCCGGTGAGTGGAGGGGCAAAGCATGATTTGTTGATGATATTTTTCAACCTTTTTTTCTCCCTTCTTCTCTCTCCAGTTACACATAGCAGCTGCTAATGGTTATATCAGAGTAGTTGAATTCCTTTTAGAGCAGCATGTCAATGTTGATGCTGTGGACAAGGATATGTGGTCTCCAGTGCATGCGGCAGCCTGTTGGGGCCATGTAAGTATATCTCGGAGAGTAAACTTTTTGAGTTTTAAGTTACTGAATACTATTGGTCTTTTACGTATTTCTAGCTGGAAGTATTGGAAATGTTGGCCCAATGTGGTGCTGATTTAAATATCAAAAACAAAGACGATGAAACGCCTTCAGGTAAGTCAATATGGATTTGATAATAATAATTTGTATGAAATTTAAAAAATAGGACAATTGAAGTCATTTACTACTTAAGGCCAGACTACACATTACGTTAGAATCATGTGTAAAGTCACTTTTTCTTAAACATTTATCTTCAAAAAATAAAGCATACTTTTAGACTCTCACAGGAACTGTCAAACTTAAAAGAAAGTGTTTATAGTATAGTACATAGTGAGATTAAAAAACTGCAACCAACTTCAGACTGCTGTCATTTCTAAGCCACTTGTCCGACAGTTGTTAAAATTATTCCAGGGACAGCTCATTATATTGTTAACAAGCGTACAAAAGCATTTTGGTGAGAATTTTCCAGAAAAAAAGTTATTCGTGATGGAATTCAAGCGGTGAGAATTTTCCATAAAAAAGTTATTCGTGATGGAATTCAAGCGTGATAGTGTGATTTCTTTATATTTGGCTGGAAAAACACAAATGGATATCGCTATAGCACTCCAGCATTTAAATGTGAATACATTTTTTGTGTCTCTTACCATTGATCGTTACCGTGATACTGGTAGCTTAGCCCGTCATCAAGGAAGTGGACAGAAGAAAACAGCAACATCAGCAGAAATGGTTCGAAAAGTAAAGAAGCGACTTTATCGAAACCCGCGTCGCAGTGGCCGAAAAATGGCTCGTGAGCTTAACATTTCGCAATATTCCAATCGGCAAATATTGAACAATGAGCTCGGGGTAAAGCCATTGAAATTCCAAAAAGTGTAAGAACTTACCCCGCAACAGATAGAAAATAGACTCAAAAGAGCCAAAGAATTGATTCGTTTGGCCGAAAGTGGTTAACTGCCGAATTTGGTTTTCTCAGAAAACATTCGTTGTCCAGCAGTTTGTAAATAAAGCAGTAAACAAACAAAATGATCCGCTCCTGCTCCAAAGAGGTCAGCTGAAAATGTGCACCTTCGGTTGGCCACCGGAACTCAAGCGCCGGCCATGGTGATGGTGTGAGCCGCCATAACTGCCGATGGTCGCTCTCCGCTCGTATTAATCGACCGTGGCTTCAGAATAAATTCCGAATATTATCGCGAAAATATTCTGGAGGGTTGTATTAAAACCTTAGGCACCCAAAAATTTCGGCAGCAGACCTTGGACATTTCAACAGGACTCAGCAGCATCGCCCTCAGCACGCGCCACCATCAAAATCTCCAGATACCAATCCGTTGGACTATTGTTTTTGGAGTATTTTAGAAAGCATGGTTGTCACTAAAAAATACCAAAGTGTCGATCATGGGCCAATATACCACAGAGCAACATTCGGGCAGCGTGTGATGGTATCATTAGCTGTTTGAAGGTCATAATTCGTGCCAAAGGTCACCAATTCGAACAAATCTAAACTTATTCTAAAATATGATGCTATTTTGCATTTTTTGCTTTCATGTTGCAGTTTTTTATCTTACCCTGTATTAACCAAGTGTTTTCTTTTTTCGGAAAGAATGTTTACCTTTTACACCAAAAAACCTTCAAAACTGTTCATTTTGAGAAGGAAGATATTTGTAATACCATTGCATAATGGACCCACATGCAATTCTTCAGTTCAAAAATGTTTCAATGTCTCCATATGTACACTCTAGAAACCATCAATATGAATATCAAATTTCAGCTCACTTAATACCAAAATTTAGTACTCTTCGTACAATTATAGTACACATTTTCAAAACTACCTCCATGACTCAATTCCAGATACCAACAAAGACGTCTATATCAAATTTCAGAATTTCAGCTCAATTCCTCCCTCCAATACCAAATTTAGTACCATTTAGTACCTTTCGTACAATCAAAGTACACATTTCCAAAACCACCGCCATGTCTTAATTACAGATACCAACAGAGATATCTATAGCAAATTTCAGCTCAATTCCTCCATCCAATACCAAATTTAGTCTTATTTAGTACTTTTCGTACAAATATAGGACTCATTTCCAAAACCACCTCCATATCTCAACCTCAGATACCATCAGTAATTTGAATGTTGCATTTTAGGATCTCAGCTCTGTAATCTCCCCCATTTCCAAATTTATTACCACTTCGTACAATTATAGCACACGTTTCCAAAACCACCTCCATATCACAATTTACAATATCAACAGAGATCTTAATATCAAATTTAAGGATTCCAGCCCTACAAATATATGACGCAATTTCAAACCACTGCCAAATCTCAAACACAGATATCATCAATAATCTAGATATCAAATTTCAGAATTTTATCTCTATCTCTTCAGCCAATACCAAATTCAGTACTTTTCGTACTGCATATGTCCAGGCTAATAAATATAGTACTACTTAGTAATTTTTATGCACACATTTCCAAAACCACATCTACATCACAAACCTTCCGCCAACAGAGACCCCAATACAATATCTGAAAATTTCAGCTTCATTCGTTAACCCCAAAACAAACTGTTCCAAATTTAGTACAGTTCTCACACTTAGTATACATTTTCAAAACCACCTTCATATATCAAACTTTCTTTCCAAAATTGATTCTCATGCCAAATTTCAATTTTTTTTTTAGCTCTATACGTTTACATAATACCAAATGTTACCATTTTAGAAGTTTAGTACAATTTTAACACTTTTCGTAATCTTAAAGTCCGAATTTCTAAAAACCCTTCGGTACCTCTATCTTGCACTCTATCAGCGACTCTTATTCCAAATTTTAGAATTCTAGCTCATTCCGTTTGTACAATACAAACTGTGTTCAAATTTTAGTACTTCTCATAGCCTTTTAGTACGAATTCCAAAATCACACACCTGCGCATCTTATCACACACCTACGCGCCAAGACTGGCCCTTGTGCAAAATTTCGAGATTCTTGCTTCATCCGTTTCGTCTGAACGTTGATTCTCAGTCAGTTATTTAGTTTTCTTTGTTAGCTTTGGAATCCTGGTGGATTTTGGTTCCACTTTCGAGGATTTGCTTATTTTTTTATTTTATTTTATTTTTTATTTGAAGTTCCGCTTTTCTCCTTAGTATTGTTGCTCCCAAATCAATTGAGTACCATACTGTTTGTTTACTAGAATAACTCATAATTTCTTTCTGCTTACATTTTTTCAGATATCTGTGAAGATCCCGAGATACGTGAACGTATCGAACAACTTAAAACCGAACAGGAAAGTAAACGTTTGGCAGAAGCACAACGAAGACGAGTTAGACGATCTCAAAGTAATAATACAAGGTAACTGTTTCAAAAAAAAAAACTTCCTCTTTTTAAATTTAACTAAAAATCGCTTCCCCCTTAATATTATTTTTTATAATACAGAGCACAATCGGTACGACGCACCTCCTTACGCGACAAAACGCTAACAACCAAAAAAGATGCCGCCGAAGAGACCCGGTTACGTCTACAAGCTCAAGATGTTTTCGCTCCTGCGCCCGATAGCACAACAATGGATCCAAACGGTCCCCATCATGATCATGTGCTCGACACAGCCGCCGATTGGCTGTCGAACTCCACGGCAAACAATCATCATCATCATACACACAACCACAGCAGTAGTGGTGGCAGCAGTATCAACAACAACAATACCTTAAAAATGAATAACAATCATAGAAATTCCTACGATCCTAGTCTTCAAGATTTGGTAGATTCCACTAGTACCCAACCGCAACCAAACAGTAATTCCACACAAACATCCTCTGCCATGGCAATGCATCAGCACCAGCATCCATCACAGCAACATTCCTATCAACCACGACGACCGCCAGAGGGTCGTGAAAATGATGAATTACAAATGCAAGCATTTAAAATCAACGGCGAACAACATTCCACAGGTGAGATGGGTGGCGGTGGCAGTAGTACAACGACGACATCCGCATCGGCCGCCGTTATTGCGGCAACCACAAGACATTCGGGGCAAAGCGAGGCCGTGCAAATACAGTCGAGTAAAGAGGCGGCGAATGGTAAAATTAATGTCCAAGTAACGGTATTAGTCGGTAAGTATCATATGTTTGGTTGACCAAATTAGTAATATGATCCTTAATATTAAGGGGTTGCCAAGTTCCAGCAAAATGGAATAAGTAGTGCATGTTTTGCTAGATTGTCTTGTTCATTTGCTTATTTTTAGCAAATTATGTTTTCATTAAAGTACAGTGGTATTGAATTTAGTGTTGTATAGTTGCAAATGAAAAAGATCATTAGAAGTATTCATTCAAAAGAGCATTTGAATTAGTTTAAGCCAAGTCTGTTCATACCGGCAATTGATAATGATGATCGAACTAACTAAATGGTGACTTTTTAAGAGCTATAGGAAAAAAATAAAAATTCGTAAAAATACATAAAATTCGTATTTGAATTGATATTATAACCATATAATTTAATGTTTGAAGATTATTTCAAGCAAGTGCTGACCGCAACTTCTTCTCAAATGGTTCATCCCCTTAGTCCAATTTTTACGTTCACTTTCCGGTATCTCATGAATACATGCTTCTAATTTGTCTTCCATTCTGCATTGACATGAGGTTTAACATAGCCCAACCAAAAATATTATTTTGACCACTCTAAACTTGAAATAAAAAGTTCACCGAAGTCACCTCCCAATAAGTTCAAGGTTGAGACCACATACCATGCAAGTCAAGCTCTTGTATTTTGGGCAAAAAAGTTGGATATGATCTCCCGGTAGCGCTCACCATCCACAGTTCTTTGGCTATTTTCCACCCAAAATGAAATTTTTTGAAATTTGTAGGCGCCAAATCGAAAAAAGTCCTCGGAAAAATTAAGAAATATTTTCGGGTTGTTTTAGAACATTGATGCAAAAGTATTTGGGCATGCAATGGAAATAGAGATTTCTTGTCTTTGGTGACTTATAGTAAAAATTGATGGAGAACATTTATGTCTTTGACGTCATCCTTCCAAAATGATGATTTGTTGGAGATGTTCGCCCAAACTTACAGAAAGTACGGTTTTAACCCTAAAATTTATTTATACCCTACAACACTAAGTCTTGGGTGTATTATAAGTTTGATTGCATGGAAATAGAGATTTCTTGTCTTTGGTGACTTATAGTAAAAATTGATGGAGAACATTTTTGTCTTTGACGTCATCCTTCCAAAATGATGATTTGTTGGAGATTTTCGCCCAAGCTAACAGAAAGTACGGCTTTAACCCTAAAATGTATTTATACCCTACAACACTATGTGTTGGGTGTATTATAAATTTGATTGAACCAAAAATTATGTAACACCTCGAAATATTGGTCCCCAAGATAGGAACCTATATACAGGGTGAGATAAAAAAGCTGCAACAAAGTCAAACGCCATAATTTTTACATTTTTTTTTTAATTTTATTAAATGAAAGCTAAACATTTCGGAAATAGCATCAAATTTTAGAATAAGTTTAGATTTGTTCGAACGGCCAATGAAACCGTCACACGCTGCCCGAATGTTGCTCTGCGATATTTTAGCCCATTCCCGGCGAAGCACTTGCTTGAGGTGATTGACACTTTGGTATTTTTTAGTGCCAACCTTGATTTCCAAAATACTCCAAACAAAATAGCCCAACAGATTGGTATCCAGAGATTTTGGTGGTCACTGTGCGCTGGAAATGAAGCGAGGAACCTCATTTTGTAAACATTCTTGGCGTGCGTGCCCAAAGCTTTAATACGCCCTCCAGAATATTTTCGCGATAATATTCGGCATTTATTCAGATGCCAAAGCTGTTATGGCGGGCCACACCATCACCATGGCCGGGGCTGGAACTCTGGTGGCCAACCAAAGGTGCACATATTCAGCTGACCTCTTTGGCAAGTAAACGCGATCATTATACCCTACACCACAAGGTGGTCAGGGTATTATGTCTTTGTGCATTTGTTTGTAACAGGCAAAAGGAAACGAGATAGACCCATAGTTCCTTTTGATGATCTGCATAGAATCACATTCTGCGTCGATTTATGCATGTCCGTCCGTCCGTCTGTCCATGTATTTTTGTAAACAAAGTACAGTTCGCATTTATTGCCCTATCCATATGAAATTTTGCACAAATCATTTGTTTGGCCCAAGGACGAACCCTATTGAAATAGCTCCCATATATATCTTCGTCCGATTTGTCGTTTATTGTGCACCAAACGTGTAATATCTGTCCGAATAGTATGGAATTTTGCACGTACGATGAGATTGGACCAGAAAATAAGTGTGCCAAATTTGGTCGAAATCGGTTCAGATATAGCTATAGCTCCCATATATATTGTTCATCCGATTTGTTACTTTTGTCCTCCGCAGCCGTAATATGCACTCTGTAACAACAATATTTGGGGAAATATATCAAGTACAGCTCAGAAATACATTTGCTAAATTTTATCGAGATCGGTTCAGATTTGGATATAGCTCCCATATATATTTTTATCCGATTTCAAATTAATTGTGCACCAAATGGGCAATACAAGTCCGAATTTAAAAGATACAAATGCTTCGGCATATTTAGTCCTTTGAACTTTAAATTATAATTATAATCATAGCGTGTATGATTGAATTCTCCCACAAAAACTTTTGTTATGCGCAGCTCTACTAAGTTAGCAAAGTTGTGTAGGGCATCATAAAGTCGGCCCCGCCCGACTTTAAGACTTTCTTTACTGGTTTTGCTTATCTACGAACTGCTGGACAACGAATGTTTTCTCATCGGAGAAACCCAAATTCGACAGTTCACCACTTTCGGCCAAACGAAGCAACTCTTTAGCTCTTTTGAGTCTATTTTCTTTCGGCTACGGTGTAAGTTCTTGCACTTTTTGAAATTTTAATGGCTTTACCCCGAATTCATTTTTCAATATTTGCCGAATGAAATATTGCGATATGTCCAGCTTACTAGTCATTTTTCGGCCACTGAGACGCGAGTTCCGACGGGTGACGTCGTGATAGCGTATCAGTATCACGGTAACGAGCGATGGTACGAGACACAAAAGATTTATTCACATTTAAATGCTGGATTACTCTAACGATTGCCGCTTGTGGTTTTCAGCCAACTATAAAGAAATCACACTATCACGCTTGAATTCCATCACGAATAACCCCTTTTCTGGAGAATTCTTGCCAAAATGCTTTTGTACGCTTGTAGACTGTCACTGGAATAACGTTAACAGCTGTCGGACGAGTGGCTTAGAAATGACAGCAGTCTGAAGTTGGTTACAGTTTTTTCATCTCACCCTGTATATTTGAAAAATTCTGCCTGGAGTTTTGAAAATCACGGTTTCAATTTAAAATGATTCAAGTATTTTCTTTGGACACCACTGTACCCTTATATTTTAACACCACTGTACTTTGTTATCATATTCATCTGTTAAATAGTAGTTAAAATTCCCATTTCCTTATTCTCCCACCCCCGAACCGTTTTAGTAATAATATTTTCATTTGAACAATAAGCTTTTTTGAAACATCATCATCAACATCAGCATCATAGCGTAACATAATTGTAGTCCTTTCATTGTTATGTTTCTCATTTCCGTTTTTCGTTTCAATTTTTCCTGTTTTGCGTTCTGCAATGTCGTCCTGTCGCCTTGGCCAACTCATTATTATCGCATTATGTATCAACAACTACAACCACAACTACAACAACAAAATACAACAACATCATCACCACTACCCAAATCACCACCAATGCCAACACTAATTCATTATGCAAAAATCTGCACTGTTGTTCTGCAATGCTGCTTTTGGAACACAATGAATGCGGTGGGTACCAATCCACCCCCAATACCCTTCTCCTGTATATCCGTTGCTATGATTGTTGCTGTTCCTGCAAACAACTGCAAATGGACACATATACATTTTGAATGTATATGCCTGTGTGTGTGCATGTACGTTTTGGTGAGAGCAGACACCTCCTCCAATCATCTACAACAGCAACAGCAACAATTGCATCAACATCATCATAATCATAATCAACAACAGCAACAACAACAACATCTACAAATGCATCTTCATGGTCATGGCCTTCATAACTTGTCGTCCGCAACCCAGCAACAGCTTCAATCAATGGATCCATCTGCTGCTATGTCCTCCGCCTCCATATCCTCCTCTTCCACTAATCCACAATATTTGGCAAATGCCACAACATTGGCCAATCTGAAAAAGCAACGCTCTCTGTCGCGTTCTAGCGTTTTCAATAATTGTGAAAATGGTTCTGTTTTAGGAGCCGCCAACTCGACAACTCATAATCCCAACAATAACAACAACAATAACAATCACAACAACAATCATCTGCTAGATCATCAGGTGAATACCCAACAACCCATGTCCAACAACGGTCTGCAACATCCAGCCCTAATGGATTACAATGGCTTAATGCATCACCACGATCCATCATCGAGCGGAGCTGGAACGGGGACGGCAACAACGACACCCACCACCAGCGGCAGCAGTGGTGGTGTAAATAAATTCAGTGGCATTACGGGTGATGTAGTCAGTGACAGTACCAGTTCCAAGAAATGTTGTACAATAATGTAAATTCAGAAAGAGTCAACGCAAGACGCACACACCCAGACGCCGAGACCGCCCCAGCAGCAAAGCCCACAAAACAACTACAAGGTAAGCAGAGAATTGAATGAAATATTTTCTCTTTTGTTATTTTCTGTTTTTTTTTTTTTCGTTCAAGATAAGAATGGTAGGAAACCTTGGGGGTGCAAAGAAAGTAAAATATTTGAACTTGGATAGCATAACAAAAAGAAGGAAGAACATTTCTTAAAAAAAAGAGAAGGAATTTCAGACAAATTCTGGGAAGTGTTTAGGAAAAGATTTTAAATGTGGAAGTTTAAAGAGTATTTGAGGGAAATTGTAGTACCATGCAATATTTAAGAGAAACTAGGATTTAATACTAAAAATGTATGTGTGTAAAAATGTTTTCCAATTGTATATTTTTTATTAGCGTTAATACTTAACAATGTTTAGGCAAACGCTTGAATGATTTGAGATTGAAGGCTAAAATTTTGCAGACACATCGAATCTTTCACATAATGTTGCAGTCACATATAATGCGACTATTTCTCATGTTTATTTACAATTTTTAAAGTATACTGTCAGGCGTTTCCCACAATTTGTAAACTTAATAGAAAAAATCGATGTCGCTCGATTAGGAACGAGCACACGATCAACTCTCAATCTCTCATTTCATTGGAAGAGTTATCTCTTACCATATTTCGAGCATTTTAAGTCCCACAATAATGTTTCAAACAAGAGTGAAACAGGAGTGCTCCCACACAAAACAAAAGAGTGAACAGTAAACTTCGTATAAAAATCGTACTATTCGAGCACTGCCGAATAAATCTGTGCTCTGGTATAAAAAATAAAATAATATACATTATTGTGGTAACAACCGTTTTAAATAATGCTATAAAAATGTTTAACATAAAAGTAAAAATGCAACTAAATGTATGTCTCTAGGATAATGTATAAACTAGCTTTAAGAAATTTCCTCGAAAACCGCTGAACAGATTTTCCTGAAAATTTCCATGTATACTCCAACATCGCCTGAAAGTAACATAGGCTATATACATTTTTGAAATTCCACTTGGAACTGGAGATATAGCATCAGAATCGGAGGTACCTCCCAAAATTTTTTATTTTATATGCATATATCTCTTCATCGATTACAGATACAGTCTTCAAATTTGGAACGCGTAACGGAATTTGGAACAAAAATAAATTTGCCAAATTATATTGAAATCGGTTCAGATTTGGATATAGCTCCCATATATATTTTCGACCGATTTCGTTGATTTGGTGCCTCAAACACGATATGAATGTTCGATTCCAATTAAATTTGGAATGTGTAGCGGGATTTGATCCGGAAATAAAATTGTCAAATTATATTGAAATCGGTTCAGATTTGGATATAGCTCCCATATACATTTTCGGTCGATTTCATGTATTTGGTGCACCAAACACGATATGTATGTCCAATTTTAAATGAAATTCAGAATGTGTGATTGAATTTGGTCTAATGATTTATTTATCAAATTATATTTAAATCGCTTCAGATATATAGCTCTCATATATATTTTCGGCCGATTTCACATATTTGATGCACCAAACGCGATACGTATGCCCGATTCCAATGAAATTCGGCTTGAGTGATTAAATATGGTATAATAATAAAATTGCAAAATTATATTGAAATCGGTAAAGATTTGGAAATAGGTCCCATATATATTTTCGACCGATTTCGTTTATTTGATCCCTCAAACACGATGTTTATGTTCGATTCCAATGAAATTCAATATGTGTGGTGGTATTTGGTTACAATAATAAATTTGACAAATTAATTAGAAATCTGTTAAGATTTGGATATAGCTCCCATATATATATATACTCTCGGGCGATTTCACAAATTTGATGCACTAACCACATTATATACCTCCAATTTCAATGAAATATGGATGGTTTGATGGAATTTGGCGTTAAACTATTTTTTTTTTTCAAATTGTATTGAAATCGGTTCAGTAGGGATATGATTTTATTAAGAAGATTTGACCCACAAAGCCTTTGCAATGGTATAAGGCTAACAGTAAAAAACAGTACAACAATTTTATTGAGGAACGGATTGTTACGGGGAAGCATGCTGCTACCTCGAATTCTCTAATTGCAACAGAAATGCCACTCAACTTCAAAAGATTGCAGTTTCCAGCACGCTTGGCATTTGCTATAAAATTAATTAATCCCAAGGACAAACCCTTCGTGTATGCGGACTAAATTTGGCATGTTCCTTCTTTTCTCATGGTCAGCTGTTCCTGGCATATTCACGCGTTGGTAGACCGAGGTATTTGTTTGTGTACGCATAAATGTATTACAATAATTACGTTTTTTATACTTTTGAATTTGTCTTTTTTTAACAAACAAATATTGGTGTATGAAGGCATTGCTCTGTACAGAAAATTTTCAGTCATAGGAAGTAGTACCCATTACGAACTCCAAATACCAAATTTTAAATAATTCTATTAAAAAGTGTGACCCAAATCATCAAAATACTGATAATCTGGAGTTACAGTTATATGAGAACTGCGCCAAAACTTTGACTTATATAGACAGTTATATGCAAAGATATTTCCTACATACTGGGAACCCAAACTGCCAATTTACATCGAATTCGGGCTAAAATTGTGACTAAAACTACCAAAAGACCATAAATCAGGCGGTACAGTTATATGGGTGCTATACCAAAACGTGAAACTATATAGCCTAAAATACATCTGAGTAAAATTCAACCTACTTAATTTCGTTCAGAAGGTAGAGTGATTTCCACAGTCGGACGAACATTGCTAAATCGAAGAGAGCGATTTATTACCAAGTGTCTGTCAGCAGATATTTCAGGCATATGACCTAGCCTTCTTAGTGGTTTCTTCCTTAAACTTAAAATAGAGAGATCCTAGGTATCGTCACCATCTCTTGCTTTCTTTAAAATAAATCATTAGTCAGGTATAAATATTGCAATATCAGATTTGGACTACTTCCTTCATTTTATATGAGAAACGTAAAAAGTTGAAATATTCGTAAGGTGCCAACTAATGCGTACCGACAAATTCCATATTCACATCAGATCTCTGATTGAAAAACATATTTAGATATACCAAGTTTGAAAAAATTACTGATTTGATTTGAAAAAATCAAAGATTTGAAAGTGGTGACCGAGATACCAAATGCAGTCGTCACTAACACAAGATCTCTTGTGAACATATTGGTAAGTGCCGAGCTTGAAAGGAATCAGATACTCATTTCGCGTTTTATGAGGTTTATGGTTAATCAAAATTTTGACCCTTTCTCTTTTCTCATACCAGATCCTGTATTTGTAGAAAAAATGTATATGTACTAAATTTGAAGACAATCGCACTTTTATTTAAAATTTTGTAAGAGTTATAATTATTCAAATATTTGACCCTTTGTGGTGTAGATACATGATGGAGTAGCCGATATTGTCCTAGCCTGACCTACAAAAATGTGAGGATTTACAGAGTATACACAGAATTGAATGATATTTTCTTGTTCTAAAAGATAAATTAATTTCTCTGAAAATTTACCTCCTGTAGGTGGGCTACTAGAACAAGTGGACCGATATGTCCCATCTTCACACCAAATTCTTCGTTGATAGAAATATTGGTGTGTGCCCAGTGTGAAAGGAATCTTATAATCATTTCGCGTTTCATGAGAGTTATAATTATTCCAAATTTTGACCAGTGGTACGGGAGATACCAGAAGGAGTGGTCCGTTCTATCCGTTATTTATATCAGACCTTGCTTCGGTAGAAATATTAAGATGTGCGGAATTTGAAGATACATTTTACATATACAAGTTATAATTATTCAAAAACATGTCCATTTGATGGTGTGGGCTGATGTTCATCACTTTCACAACTGGTCCAGCACTACTTAAATTATTGAGATTTGCAAAGTTTGCAGGTTATCCTATCTTGTTCTATAAGGTAAATTATTTTCTGGGAAAATGTTGAACTTTTGGTGAGGTGAGGTGGTAGAAGAAGTGATGGGATATTACCCATCTCCGAACTCGATCTAAGTTTGATAAAAATGCTACGATGTGCCAAGTTTGGACCAAAACGAATACTCCCCTCGAAAGTTATCGAACGCACAGACAAAGGGCATATCTTGTGGGACACCCAACTCTAATAAAAGTTTAGGAGATTCGAATCGAGCTCTAATGAATTGGTGGCACTTTACCTTATCGTTGCGTGCGCTAGCATCATGCTTAGTATGTCAGAGAACAAATTTCTAACGGTACTTTACTTCGAGCACAATCGCTCTGTTTCCGTACCTGCAAGATTCTACAAATTTAAAATTTTTTGCTCTTTAAATTTAAAAAGTTTTACAAGTTTTTTCTCTATACAGGAACCCACACAACTTTTCCCTCCAATCTCCCAGAAGTTTATTTTAAAACTTACCAAAAAAGAAACGTGCCTAAAAACATACTTCATTAAATTTATTGAGCAAATATATATTTGCATAGTTGTTATTGTCCCTAATCAAGGCAATAACAGCTCAAAGACATATGGTATTTTTTTTTCTTTCTTCGCTTTCGACTAACTTACTGGCCGAAAAAAACAAAAAACGTGCACAAATATTGGGTCAGACAAGCGTCCACAAATATACACACACACACATAAACAACTAACTAAATTTGTTATTTTCTTTTTTTCCACAAACGAACTTTGACAATTAGTAGAAATTTGTTCATTCATTCATTTTGTTGTCTTTCCCACTACGTTCCGGATATTTTTCTTAGCAGATAAATTTGTATTGTTTTATTTTTAGAAAATTAAATAAAAAATACACAAATCCCCAACAATTTTCAATTTGTTGAAGCCTTGATGAATTGTCGGTAGATTAAACTAACCGAACACAACAATAGAATGACATTAAGAAACCCTGAAGTGTCTGTTTGTGAATTAGAAAATATTTAATTTAGAATACATTCAATTAGTATTCTGCTTCGATGAGATGTAATCATCAATTGTTGTAATAGAGTTTTTTTTTAAATGGCAAGGCATTTGAATAAAATAATTGGGATTTTTGCAATTTTAATTT